TGCTGCCACCATGCTCCAAAGTATGAGACACGAAGTCTGGACATCCTGGATTCTTTTTTTTTTTATGTTTGTGTTGTGAATTGAGTGAAAGTTTACAGGACAGATCATCAGTTTTATGTTCAACAAATCATATACTTTGTTTCATTGTTGTTGTTGTTAAGTGCCGTCGAGTCGGTTCCGACCAATAGCGACCCTGCACAGGGTTTCCGAGGGTGTAAATCTTTACGGGAGTAGAAAGCCTCATTGTTTCATTACAATGATTATAATCCCCTCCATGTACCCTCAGTTAACAGTATTTTTCTCTATTCATTTTAGCTCTGTTTTTTTTTTTTTTTTTAAACACTCAGGCATAGGTAATAATTTACACCACCAAAGGGCACATTCTGCACATCTGCCTCCTGGCTGCCAACTCTCATTCCCTCTCTCTCCGTGAATCTAGATTCCTCAGTTGCTCCCTTTCTCCATGTCCCCATCTCTGCCTCTATCTCTGGTGTGATTGCTTCTCTGGATAAGGTCGTGCATTCCACTTATGCTCTTCTCCCTTGATGGCCTTAGGGTCCTCAGTTTCTGGACTGTAAGATTAACTACTTCCCTGTTTTTCTTACAAAACTTCTACCTTTAAAATTGTGACAGTCACAAATAGCCACGATAACTGTTATTCACTATTGAATAAGAATCTTATCCCCGTCTCTTTTTACCAGACCTATCTAGACAAGATGAAAACTATTCATTGGGGACTGTATCTCCCCTCCCCCCACATACTTTTAAACTAAACTCCTCCCTCTTGAAACCTTGTAAGCCAGTCACTTCATGCCTTTATCGCCCCCTCATTTTAGGTAGCCAGTGTCTAAGTTGCCCTTCCCTATCTACCCTATGTACAGAGGGGACAGCATTGATACTTGGTGTGAAGACTCCTTCCCTCTCTTTTGGTATTTTGAGTTGCCACATCCATGAGTATGTTGTTGTTGTTGTTGTTATGTGCCATGGAGTCGATTCCGACTCATAGCCACCTTATGAGTTTCCGAGGCTGTAAATCTTTACGGGAGCAGAAAGCCTCATCTTTCTCCTGCGGAACAGCTGGTAGTTTTGAACTGTTGACCTTGTGGTTCGCAGCCCGATTCGTAACCACTATGCTACCAGAGCTCCTTTCTATGAGTATAAGTCAAGTTAATCAAATTATAGCAATTTACCCTCATTTCCTTTATCAATTTTTTTTCTTCCTCTAGTCAAGTTCTGATTATCAAGACATAGAGGCTAGGTCAAATGGGTACTATCTGCAAGTTTGGGTGTTGTTGTGCATCTCCCCTTACTTCATACCAACTGGATGCTTCACTCTCAGCTCTAGCCCTCTATGGCTGAGTCCTTGCCCATGGGCTCAGGTGTCTCACCACACTTTGGACAAACAAGCCTTTCCTCATCTCTCTCTCATCTCCAGGTCAACTGGAGTTTATGGAATGTGATTGAACTTAGTGCATTTCTTCATTGCTGCCTTCCACTTACCAGTAGATGTGGTCATCAGCAAGTTTACATGCTTGCTCATGTGTTCCCTTTGAGTTTTAGTCTTGGGGTGGGTGGGGGTGGAGGTCATCCTGGCTTCTGAGGAACATTTGGGTTGCACTTCCTTAAAGGCAGATTTGTTTGTTCTTGTGGCAGTCCACGGTACTTTCACTATTCTTCTGCACCATAATAACTCATGCATCAGTTCTTCTGTGGTCTCACTTTAATCATTGTCCAACTTTCGCGTTCATATAAGGCAATTGAAAATGCCACAGCTTGGTCAGGTACACCTTTAGTAATAATATTTCCTTCTAGTTTCTAGAGAATCCCTACTTGGCAAATATTTTTTCTTGTTAAAGTGTGAAGGTTGTGTCATTCTGTGTTTCTTTCAGCAAATTATGAGTGTGTTTCTCCACATTTTTACCACTGTCTCTCCATTGCCATTTGTTCAGTAACCTTTTATTAATAAGTTTGTAAGTGTGGGACAGTATTCTTGATGATGCGAAGTATATTTTTAAGCTTTTGTATTTTCCTCAATTTTATGTGTGAGAAATGGCTTATTAATGTAGTTTTAATTGTCTTGGTGATCTGGTGAACTCTGAATATTCTCTGTTCTAGTATTCCAGGGTACTTTCTTTTCCTTAAACTGTCATTGCTTTCCCTTCACACACACACACACACACACATTCTTGTATGTTTTTCTCTTTGGAGATCTGGGTGACAATTTGGTTACCCACACAACCACTGGCAGTCCTCCCTGAACACCTGTACTCTTCTGGTTTTTGGGGTTTACTGGTCCGGGAGCAACAGAGGACCTTTTTTATACTAGTCTCTTTGTTTTATATAGGCAGTTATTGGGTTACGAATGTCTGCTTATACATGACTCACATACAACCTGTAATTATGAACCAACTCCAGTAAAGCCTAGTATTAATAGAAATTTGAGGTACATACAATGGTTTGTAATGACATACTTGGACACTACTTTGTGGCATGCATCAAAACATTATTATCATTACTGTTTGTTTTTATTGTTAAGTGCTGTTGAGTTGGTTCCAACCCATAGTGACCCTGTATAGTGTTTCCAAGGAGTGGCTGGTGAATTTGAACCACTGACCTTGTGGTACAAACGATTTTGCAGTCCAGCGCATTAGCTCATACTGTTAAAGATGTTTTAGTGTATTTGGGTATGTTTCTTTAATGGTTTTGATCCATGGAAAGGTATATTATACTGTGTGCTAAGATAAATGATGGAGTTACCTGATATAAGATAACAGGTGTCCCTAACTTCGGATTTCCATACAAATTTGATTTAAGCCAGATTTAGGAATGGAACTTGTTCATAACCCGGGAACTACCTGTACTGTCTTTCCTGCCTCTTACCTGCTCCCATTTTATCTCCTTTCACTTCTGCAGTATCTGTAATACTTGTTGGCTCCTCTTCTACTCTCAGGTATGCCCACTTTCCTTGAACATGAAAACAAAACAAAAAACCTTTCCTGAACTACTACTTGTTTATTCCTTTTTCTGTGCCTTTGTTTGTTATTTCACTTAATTTGCAATACCCTTTCTTTTCATCTATGAGGATTTTACAGTGTGAACAGAAAGTTCCATCCTGAAACTGTTAAAATGCTTTAAAAATATTTGTCTGAATCATAATGTTTAGCATTTTCTGTTGTTTTCTGTCATCTTAAATTGGCAGCTGTATTGTTTTTAGCTTTTTATTATGGAAAATTTAAAACACATGCAAAAGCATACTGAATAATATCCTGATCCCTTTTCAAACCGAAAACTACTACCCTATAGTCAGTCCTTAGCATCTATTCTTGATGCCCAAGTTCCAGAATAGTATGATTTAATTTGAATATACTTTATATACAAGGACAAGTAAAATAATAATAATAATAATGCTTCTAGGTTTCCAATTAATACGTAAGTGGGTTTATTCCAAACAAAAGGTATTTAAACATGCCTCTGAGATCAGCAGATGACTGCAAACCAGTTTTCTCAGTAATACTCTTAATCATAGTCTTGTTGTATGCCTTCAAAAAAGATCAGTTAAAATAGTCGATTCTGAGGGGATGTGATGGGCCAGTGAAATTCAAGGCAGAGCTCAGAAGATTATGGGGACTGTGTTTTTGAGTCCCAAAGGGATCAATTACTTTGATAGATTTACTTGAAGCATGCAAGACAGTCACGGACGTTTATTAGGAAGATGTTTGCAGTAAATGGAAAACTGCATTTGTCAGAAAAAGACCAGGCAAGTTGTGCCAAGAAATTGGCTACCATCAGGAAGGTGCAGCTTCTCATTCTTGGAGGGTAACCAGGGCTGTCCTGAAAGGAATTTATTGAGGACCCTTACCCCAGCCACTTTAAAACCATGGTTTTGCTCCTTTAAACTTCTTTTTGTTTTCAGAACTCAAAAAGCATCTAAAAAGATCATGATTTGAGTCCCTCGAGGATCATTTTGATGTGTTGTGAATCAAAGAGTGCAGAATTCTTCTGGGGAGTGTTAGGCTTGCAGACACTAATTTCAGGAGTATTTCTACTTAGGTGGAGGATGTGTTGAAAAATAGTAGTTTCACATTTGGTATTTTTGTTTAATATATGTTTCTAAGATTTTATAGCAATACTTTTTAAATTACCCTTTTGTGTGTGTGTGTATATATATATATATATCACAATCATAAAACCATATCACATCTAAAAGTAATTCATAATAATCCCTTAGTATTTTCAAATATTCTTTCATTCTTCAAATTTCTCATTAGTGCTACAATGTCAGTTTTTAATACTTTGTTTAAATTTATAGATTTTAAAATTGTAAGTTATCCCTCTTTCTGTCCTCTCCCCCAACAGTTTCTATTTATTTGTTGAAGAGCCGAGGTGATTTGTCTTTAGTTGCCTTCAGTCTGGATTTTGCAGATTGTATTTCCATAGTGTATTAAATTTTACTTATCGTCTGTAAATTGATATTTGAATCTAGAGGCTTGATCAGATTCAAATACAAGTTTTGATTTGTTTTGTTGTCAAGGCTATTTCTTTTAGAATCCACATAATGTCTGGCTGTCTTTTATAGATTCATTAACTCACCCAGATTTTGTGTTGCTTAAAGGAAGGAATTCAATATTATATTTCCATAGGACCTCTGATAGTATTGAGAATATTTCTTGACTGATTTATGGGAAGCAAGCCTAACTTGATAGTACTTTCTTTCCCCCAAGACCTTATTCTTCCTATTTTACAACAGAAACTGTAGATTTTGAGCAATTTGAATTGATTTGACCATGGGAAATTGTGAGTTGTGCTTACCCTGTTTTATTTTTCAGTGCTTTCCTATCTCACACATTTGAAACAAGATATACTTCTCGTTTAATGATTTTATTTATATTTTCATACTATATAAATGATATAATTCCTAACAGTTAAGGCAGTTTTATCTGTCTTTAATGTTTTTGTAGTTGTCATTAAAGTGCTTTTTTTTCTTTCTTTTTTTCCCATAGAACATTCCTGATGTAGATGAAGAAGGTTATAGTATTAAACCAGAAGCAAATCCGAATGATATCCTTTCGTCATCTGGATATTTTTATGATTTGTGTGGCCATATAATTAAATTAACACAGTGTTCTATTAATTACCTAAACTATCTTCAAGTTTTAGTTAATTGTATTAAAATGACTCATCTTTCATATTTTTATTAGTAGCATTCTGTTAAAAGTCACCTTACCTCAAAGGTTTCTATGATTCTTTATAAATATGTTGTTGTTTAAAAAAAAAAAAAGCTGATTATGCATTATGATAGTTTAAAATGCAATTCCTTTACTGATACTCACATACCAAAGAAAACCATTTCTACTCATCTAGTGACTCCGATTCTGAAGATGAAGAACCAAAGAAGTACCGGATAGAAATCAAACCTGTGCATCCAAATAATTCACATCACACAATGGCTTCTTTGGATGAATTAAAATTATCTATAGGGAATATAACACTCTCCCCAGCAATATCTGTAAGTAGTAAAACGGGCAAATTCATGCTCTTTATAGGAAAGCCTTAATTTATTTGACTCTTTAAGAGATACCAAGTTATTAGAAATCAAGAAATGTGTAGTGTGTAATTTTTATTCAGGACAATGACTTTCTATGTTTGGCTTACTTTGGCTTGCTTTAGAAAATGTTTTACAATTAAGCAAAAATCTGAAAAATTCACTGTTTGCCATTTGTTGCATTTTATAAATAGTACTGTATTCCTCAGGCATAGATTTATGAACTGGCAGCATAAATCTTCTCCTTTTCTAAATTTGAAGTTTTTCTTCCATGTTTTGTGGAGCTTTTGAAACAGGAAATTCCACAAAAATGAGTTGAAGATCAAATTATGTTTTTATATTTTTTGGTACTTCACTATAACGTTTCTTTTTCTAGACTTCTCATGAAAGAAGAGGCAAAGATATGAATTATTAGTTATAAGGCTAATTCTTTAATTCTAAGATACCACACTTCAGTCTTTTGAGGGAGAAAAAAAAGTTGTCATAATAAATCTTTCCACTGTCAAACTGTACAGAAAAAGTTTATCTTAAAAGGAAAATTAAGAGTACTTGTAGATGATTATCAGAATGATATTAAACCTTTTCTCTCTTATTTAATTATTTATTTCAAATAGTATTTATTTGGAGAAAGTATTTTTCTCCAAATAAGAGTTTTTAATATTAAAACATTTTTTCCCACCAAAACATTTCAAAAGTCAGATTTTATTGTATCATTACTATTTAACATTAAAATTAATGCTGGATTATAAAGCGTTTCATAAATTATGATATATACTTATGAAGTAGGCTGTAGTGAAACCATTTAAAAAATATTTTGGAAGAACATGTTGTTATTGTTGTTGTTATGTGCCATCAAGTCGGTTCCGACCCATAGCAACCCTGTATAGGGTTTCCGAGGGTGTGAATCTTTACGGGAGTAGAAAGCCTCATCTTTCTCCCGCGGAGCAGCTGGTAGTTTTGAACCGCTGACCTTAAGGTTCGCAGCCCGATTAGTAACCACTATGCTACCAGAGCTACTTGGAAGAACATAAGTAATTTAAAAAATAAATAAATAAAGCCCTAGAGGAATAATTGTTGGTGCTGTTAAGTGCTGTTGAGTAAGTTCTGACTCATAGCGACCCTGTATAGGGTTTCATAGTGAACCTGGATAGTGCTTCCAACTCACCACCACTGATCTTGTGGTTCAAACCAAACATGCGGTCCAGTGCTTATTCTACAGCACCACCCCAGGACTCCTTGATTATCTCATCATCTAACATTTCACATTTATGACAATAGTAAAAAATCTGTCCAACTGTTTTGTGCATTAACGATGTGTTTTGGCAGTAAAAAATGCCAGAGGGTACCAGTAGCTGTGATGTGTCAATTTGGCTAGGCCATGATTCTCTCAGTGGTTTAACAATTATGTAATGCAGAAGCCATCCTCCATTTGTGACCTGATGTGGTGGTCTTCCATTTTTGTCATATAACAAAATTCTTTGGAACCTAACTATGTAGAAAAATGAGGAGTGATAAACATTTATCCCTGGGCAGTGTGATCATGAGTGATTTAAAATTTGTGCTCTTCTCTCCTTCTAATTTTTTTTAAAAACAACTAAAATGTAGTAAGTTTATGCACAAGAAAGTGAAGAAAAGTAAAACATTTTAATAGTTAATATTGGATTTTAAAAAAAGGATTTTTTTTAGTCTGTTTCATTGTCCAATTTTCTTATTGCTTATCTGGCTTAAGTCATATATATGTTTTAAGATGAATATATTTGATGTTTGATTTCCAAAGGGACTAGGCAAATTATTAGAGCAGGAAGTTTTCATGTTTTAAATTCTAACCTGACCACTATGTTTATCTATTTTCTTTCATTTGCTACTAGAGACACAGTCCAGTAAGTATAAGATTTTGTACTTTTAACTATTGACTTTTCAAAAATCTTTATAATAGATAAATATTAATTTTCAAGATTCTATGTTAAATTATTTAAGTTAACAAGTCACAATTTTGTGTTGTAGATGTGACTTTTAAAACACTGATTTTTAAATTGCATGTTATGATTATTTCTAAAACAAAAACTATTCAAAATTATTTCTGTATATTTTTACATAAATATAGTTCACAATTAAGCAGATAAAAACAACTTAAAAAATGTATTGCTAAATTAAAATACTAGTTTGATGGCAGTTTTTAAATTTCTGTTTTAGGTCCAGATGAATCGGAATTCACCTAGTAAGTTTGATATTTAAATTGGTTCTTTTCATGTCTGCTGAGTGGGTTACCAGGCTGCAAACTGCAAGATCAGTAGTTCAAATCTACCAGCCACTCCATAGGAGAAAGATGAGGTTTTCTGCTCTCATAAAGATTTATAGCCTTAGAAACTCTATACAGAGTCTCTATGAATCGGAACCAACTCCACAGCACACAATCGCCACCACCAGATTTATTAGGCAGTTTGTTAACATGTCAGTTTATGCCGCTGTAGAAATAAATGGTCCTTTCTATCATGAGCCTGAGGGACATACTAGAAGGATGCTTATTTTAAACAAAAGGCAAATTTCTTTTTATATAGTATTAAGAAACATGCTTTACAAAGTTTTAAAATTTCTTAGCCATGACCTAACACCTTGTGGCAATGAGCAACTGTGCTTAGGGGTTTAAGACCACAGTCTCCTTGGACAGCTAAGTCATTGTCACAACATAGTTCACAAAGACACTGTTCTGCAACATACTGTGGTGAGCAGTGACTAGGGTCTGAAAAGCTAGTGAGTGGTCATCTGATAGGCAAATATTAGTCTCTCCCCATCTAGAGGAAAGAACACTGAAGAAAATCAAAGACTCAAGGGAACAGTCCAAAGGATTGTGAACCGTAGCCTCCATTATTCTGAGACCAGAGAACTTGAGGGGACTCAGCTACCACTACACTGATCACTCTGATATAAAGGAAGCAAGGTGGAGAACAAAATTCAAACTCATAACAAAGACTTCACTTACAGTTCTAGTAGACACTGTAGAACCTCCAAGGCTATGGCCCGTAGACACCCTTCAAACCTGAAACTGAACCACCACTCCTGGGGATCACCGTTATAGCCAAACAGACAGGCCTATAAAGTGGACAGTAACACATGTGAGGAACATATTCCTTAGAATATTCAGCTGTATGAGGCCAAAAGGGCAGCTTTGGCCCAAAAATCAAGTTCAGAGGGTATGAAGGGCAAGGAAAGAAGGATTTGTGGAAAAGGAGAACCCAGGACAGAAGGAAAGAGTGCTGTTGCATCAAGAAAATTAGACCTGATGTTGTGAAACAAGATGCATGTAAATTGTTGAATGTAAAACTAATTTTCTCTGTAAACTTTCACCCAAACCACAATTTAAAAATGAAAAACCAACTAGAAACATGCCTTAAACTTTATTATGTGAACCCTTTGCAGGGTTGCTATGAGTTGGAACCGATTCGACAGCATTTAACAGCAACATGGGAAAAATAGAGTTTAGGCAGCTTACTCAAAAACTACGCAATTTTGTTTAATAAAAACTATGATGTCAATCCTAATACAAATTCCAGCACAATTAAAAAGATTAAGTTTATAAATGCCCAAGTAAAACAGTTTTACCTTTAAAAAAGAAACGGTGACATATTTCAGTTGTAGGGATGTGAGAAGCATGAGGATAAAAATCAGCAGCTAAATTATGGAGATGAAGGCAAAATGCACAGAGAAGGCGGAGAAAGCACAATAAGGACTTTGGGACAGAACACATGGTCAAACTGAGCCAAAAGGAAGAATGTGCTGTGAATAGGTGTTGTATACAATTTAGTGTTTCTTTTTAATTTGCTGCAGTTAATCATTTTGGTGCGTTTTGCATTCATCAGATGTTTTGATACCATTCCCCTGCTTACTTATGAAATAATTCAATGTTACATGTATTAAAGGTAGCAAAACATGAAGTGACAGTATACTGAATGGGAGAAAATATATGGGAACCATAAATTTGACAAGGGTTTAATATCCAGAATTTGTCAAGAGCTCCTACTTAATGCAAAACCAGAACATCTCAGTTAAAAAAAATGGGCAAAGGACTTGAGTAGACATTTCACCAAAGGAAATATACAAGTGGCCAAGAAACATTTGAAAAGATGTTCACCATTATTAGTTGTTGTTGTTGTTGTTAAGTGCTGTCAAGTCAGTTCTGACTCATAACTACCCTGCGTAGGGTTTCCAAGGAGTGGCTGGTGGGAACCTTGCGACTAGCAGTCCAGTGCTTATCCTCCAGTACCACACCAGGACTCCATTTTTAGTCATTAAAGAAATGCAAAACAAAATCACAATGAGATACTGCTTCAACCCCATTAGGATAGTTATTACTAGAAAAATATAAAATAAGAAGTATTTGGACAGATGTGGAGAAATTACAACACTCCATCCATTACTAGTGGGAATGTAAAAGGGTGTAGCTGCTGTGGAAAATAGTTTGGCAGTTCCTCAGAAATTTAAGCTTAGAATTACCATATAACCCAGCAGTGTCACTCCTAGGTATGTATCCTAAAGATTTGAAAGCAGGGACTCAAACAGATACTACAGACTAATGTTCATTGCAGCATTACTCACAATAGCCAAAAGACTAATAATCCAAGTGTTCGTCACAGATACGTAAATGAATACTACAAAATGTGGTCTGTACATACAATGGAAAGTTTCCCAGCCATACAGAGAAATGTAGTCCTGATAGATGCTGCAACATGGTGAACCTTGGACATGCTTTGCTATGTGAAATGTCAGATACAAAAGCACAAATATTAAATGATCTCACTTATAAAAAATAGCTAAAACAGGCAAATGCATGGAGACCAGAAAGAACAAAGGCTAAAGTGTTTTCAGGGGGTATTAAGAAGGAGGAATCTGGGATTTCTTGCTTAAGAAGCACTGAGTTTTTGTTAATGCTGACAGAATAAGAAAAGGGAACTAGATGGTGGTGATAATTGCACAGAATGGTGAGTGTACTGAACGTTAGTTACTGAATTGTCCACGTAACTAGGGTTGAAGTGACAGAGGTTGTGTTATTATATTTTACCTCAAAACCACAAAATTAAAAACAAAAAAAGGCAGCAAAACAAACTTGTATTACGATACTGTTATTCTAGGTTGGTATCAGATTTTTAATGTTCCAGAATAGGACTTCCTTCAGGTTTTGTTTTGGTCAATATAATAACCACTAATAATATTTTTAGAACTTAAAAATTGCTGTCATTCATATCAGTAAATCATTTCAGTCAAATTTGTACACATTTGAAAATATTTCTTCTGAGTTTTAAAAACTATAAGCCATATATTCTCTCTCCTAAGCAATTTTAATAAATATTTATATATGGAGTCAAGGTGTGGCGCTGTAGGATAATCACTGAACTCCTAACCGTGAAGGGGGTGGTGTTTTCAAACCCACAAAGACTAGTCCTTGGAAACCTTACATGCAGGGTTGTTATGAGACTGAACCAACTCACTAGCACTTAACAATATTAACAACATACTTAGATACTTATTCATAGCACTGATTTATGTGTGTGGTGTTTCATTTTACATTAACATATTTTAGTATTCAAATTATGCAGTTTTTCATTATATAATTTCTTAATTAGGTGAAGAGTTAACAAAATCAAAGTCATCTCTTCCATCCAATGAGTAAGTTCTACTTTAAATATTAAGCATCCTCCTTTTGTCCTTTTTTCTAGAGTGCTTTTATTACTTCTGTAGTTTTAATTCCAGTAGTGTTGCTAATCATCCTGTTTTCTAAGTAGTAAAATGCTATGGTGGCATTTTAGGATGTTTTAAATTATTTCTCACTGGACAGTATTTCTTTCCACAATCACTTTTAAAATCCATTCAATCATAATTGACCTTGGTGTCCTAACTGTCCTAAATAGATGATGATACCCTAAGTTCATGTAGGTCTATATTTAAGCTAGTTCTTCTCCTTTACTTGGGCTGTGACCTTGTAAAATGGCTATCCTTCCTGAATCTACCATGTAAGGAAGTGCCTCAGTTAAGTGAAAAGGAAGACGGCATGTTGCCAGCTCTTAAAAAACCAGGACAGTGTCACATAAGCCCTTTTTCATTTCTGTATAATAATAATAATAATAATAATAATAGGCGGCATCAAAAAGTCTGTGGAAAAATGGAATTAAAAGTTAATGGACCACAAGGTAGTTGGTTCAATCCATCAGCCACTCCTCAGAAGCTCTAGACAGAGTCGCTGTGATTCGGAACCAACTCAACGGCAGTTAACAGCAACAACAGTTTAGTGTCTATGTTTTAACAGTTTTCTTGAGATATAATTTGCATATTGTAAAATCCACCAATTTTAAATAAACAATTTAATGATTTTTAGTACATACACAGAAATTTGCAATCATCATTACTTAAAAGTTTAGAACATTTCTATCACCCCACAACAGAAATCTCATATCTTTTTGACTATGGCCATTCTGGTGGATGTGAAATAATATTTCATTATGATTTGGGCTTTGTATGGTAAGACCTTATCTTGTTTTTAGATAGGAAATAACCCTAAGTGGAATAGAGGACTAACTTAGAAGGTTATTATCGTAGTTCAGCCAAGAGATGCTGTGAATTGGACTAGTAGAATCATGGAAGGAAGAAGAAAGTGGATGGATTCAAGAAATACATTGGGAGTAAAATCAACAGGGCATTCAAACATAAATATTTTCCCTTTAGTTATACATTTTAATATTATAGCACCAGCAATTCTGTTAAAACCAAATTATCACAAATGTTCATTGCATTATGGCTTTAATATAGTAAAACTTTTGGATTTGATGTTGTAAATATTTAGTAAATATTCAGGGCTCATCTTATAGCACCATACCAGGACACTATGTTAGAATTCAAGATGTCTTAGTACAAGAGAAAATTTTTACAATTAGGTAACATAGAAAATTGAATGAAAACTACAATGTTAAAATAAAGATCAATATGTACGCATGACTTAGAAAATATATATATTTCCTAACTTTGTCCATTAACATGGACTAGAAATAATGTCATATCAGGAATCATCAGCACAGTACCCAGTTTGCAGTCTCTGATACCATTTCTAATTAAAAACAAACGCCAAATCATCAAGTCTCAGAGAAATAAATGATTGACTCAGTGTCTGGCAGAGGGAAGATACAAGGTGAAGTGATACATCTTGCTGTGCCAGAAGGGAAGAACTGTATGTAGAGTATGGTCTGAGTTGACTGAGCATGTGAATGTGAACTAAGACGTTAAAATACTTCCTTTGGGTAGAAACAATGTGATGATTTTTTATTTTAATTTTTGCTTGTCTGAATTTTCTAATTTTCACCAATACAGATGTGCTACTTTTTAACAATAAAAGGCTATTAATAATAATAAAAAAGTTAATGGAATTTTTCCACAAACTTTTTGAAGCCTCTACGTATAGTTAATTTTTTTACATGAGCAAAGTAATGAGGAGCTCTGGTAGCATAGTTTTTACAAGTCAGGCTGTTAACATCAGGGTTCCACTGGAGAAAGGTGAGGCACTTCAAACCCACCACCTGCTTGTGGGGAGAAAGATGAGGCTATTTGCTTCTGAAAGATTTACAGTCTTGAAAACCCTATATAGGGTGGCTTTGAATTGGAATCTATTGATTTTCTCCATATGCCGTTGGAAAAGTACCCATATTTAAAATCATGTATATTGAAATGAAATGAGGACTTACATGATTTGATTTTATACTAATAAAATATTCCTTTGTTAAAAATTATTTTTTTTAAATGTTATGATAGGAGAGGGACAAGTGATTTACTTGCTTGGGACCCCCTGTTTGGACCGTCTCTTGATTCATCATCTTCTACTTCACTAACTTCCTCATCTTCAGGTAAATATATATATGTATATATTTAAAGAATTTTTTTAGCAGTACCTATTTTTGTAATTTATTCACTAGTGATTTATTTACCACTTGTATGTTGTATTTAATGCTAAAATATATTAGTTTGTTTTTTGATGATATTACCAGATAAAAGTAATTTTTTTTTTTTTTTTGGTTAATTGGCTCAAAGACCCTATGATTTTAAAACAGTAAGATTTTATTACATGCCACAAGTTTTTTTTCCTCACTTACATAGTTATTTCTAACTATCATTCCATATTGATATTCTTTTATCAATGCCCACATGTTTTTTTCTTTTACTAGTTTGTATTCAACTGCATAGACATGTACATTTGTACCCACTTCTTTGATAGGCATTCTAGTTGCTTTTAATGCTGCATACATCCATGGATATTATAAAATTTATATTTATGTGTTATTCTTATAACAACTTAGCAATGTAAAATTGATGGGTCACAGGATATGTATATTGATAGTTATTGCCAAACTGCTTTCCAGAAAGGCTTTAGTACTTCCTAATCAATATAGAAAAGAATGGGATGGTTTTGACTGTTTGGGCAAGAATGCACGAGTATTATTTAAGTTTCTCTCTTTTCTTGAACACAAAAAAAATTCACCATTAGCCAAATATCTAAGCAGGAATCAAAAATCCATGTTTAATTAAGCAAGCCCTTACTTCTTCAGAACAAGAAAATAAAATTACTTTAAGTTGATCTTTAGCCTCCTTTTCTTCTCCTGGGTTTTGGATTTGTAGGGGGAAGCAGAGGAATGGGACTGACATTTATGGAGTTCCTGCTGTGTTTCTCCGCTATATACATTCTATTTCATTTTATCCAGTTAACAGCTGCATAGCATCCTTAATTATTGTCTCTATAAATGAATAAGGAGCTATGGTTGGACATTGAGCTGCTAACAGCAAGGTCAGCAATTCAAATCCACCATTCATTCTGTGAGAGAAAAATGATTCTATCTTATCCCATAAACCCTATATATCCCAGAAACCCTATATAAGATCACTATGAGTTGGAATCGACTTGATGGCAGTGAGTTTGGGCTTATTTTATAGATGAATACGCTAAAGCTTAGAAAGGATAAATAACTTCTCCAAATCATACAACTAGGAAATGATGAAGTCAATATTCAAACATAATTCTAAGATTTGAATTTGCAAATTCTAAGATGTTTGTTCCATACACATTTCACCCTGATAGTTAAAAAATAAGCCATGTTTAAAACATTTTTTGTTACTAATAACAATAAAATAAATACTAATATTTAAATTTTGACTCTTTTGAGACTAAATATTTTTAAATAAACTGTAAATGGATTATAGACAACTTTACCCTGAATAATTTGACATTTTGAAGGGAGGGCAGTCTGTACCTAATACTTATAAAACATCAACAAACAGGTCAATAGGTATAGCTTTCTCAGCAGACTGTTACTGTTTAGTTTTGTAAAGGGAACATTGATAGTTCATTGGTAGAATTCTTGTCTTCTCTGTGGAGACAAGGTTTGAGTTTCAGCCAGTGAGCCTTAAGAACATCCATCACCCTTTGTCAGTGAAGCCTTGTTAGCCGGAATGGTAATGAAGACCTTTTAGCAGAGCTTGCAGACATGACAGAATAGAAGGCCAGTTGATCTACTTCCCAAAAAACTAACCAGTGAAAACCTTGTGGCTCACAATGGTTCAATCCCACTGTGTTTAGGATTGCCATGAATTAGGGGGTCAACTCGATAGCAGCTAACAACTATAACCGTACAAGTAAATTACGTAAGGGAAATAATAGGACAGGAAAAACTGAAGCTGCTAAGGACTTTTTTTTTTTTTTCTTTCAATGTTTTACTGTGAATTATGTGATAGTTTACATGGGAGAACATTAGTTTTACATTCATTCTATTGTATATCATTTCATTGTCATGGTTACAATCCCCTCCGTGCATCATCAACCAATCAAAGGGTATACACTACAAGCCTGCCCCCCGGTTGTCAGCACACAGCCCTTTTCCCTCTCTGATTCTAAAGTCCCCAACTGCTCCATCTCTCCACGTCATCGTCTCTGCCTCCATTTCTGGCGTCACTGCTTCTCTGGATAAGGTCCCACTCTCCGCTCTTCTCCATTGATGGTCCCAGGGACCTCTGCTCCTATACTGAAAAGTTAATCACTCCCCTCCTTGCTATAAAATGTCTACCTGTACATTTCCAACCCTCACAATCAGTCCTGATAACAATTATTCACTGTTGTATCACAAGAGACCTATCCGCATTTCCTTTCATCAGCCCCATCTAGACAGATTGGATACTACTCAGTGGAGAGTCTACCTTCCTCCATGCCCTCTGGATCTAGGTTCCCTCTTGAAAGCTTGTAATCCAGTCACTTCTTGCCTTTGTAAACACCCCCCCACCCCCATTTTGGGTAGCCAATGTCCAAGTTGTCCATCCCTGTCTACTCTGTGTATGGAGAGGGTGGGAATTTTCCTCGCTGTAAAAATTTATTCCCTCTTTTGAGCTACTGCATCCAGAGGTGTAGGTCAAGTTCATCAAATTGTATCAGATTACTCTTTTTTTTCCCCCTCTTCTATCTTCTTCTGGTTTAGCTCTGATCATCCAGTCATTGAAGCCAGGTCAAGTGGGTATTATCTGCACGTATGGGTATTTTTATGCATATGCCCTCTCTTCTTATTGCTAAGGACTTTTGACATTTTTGTTTAGAAAAATGTTGGGATGTTTTAATTTAGCATGAAGAGGACTCTCAAGTTTGTTTTTAAATTATATTAATAACCTTTTATAAATTTTTTCAAATAATTGATAAAAAACTTTTTAATTCATTTCACAGAGTTGTTGTTGTTGTTGTTAAGTGCTGTCGAGTCGGTTCCGACCCATAGCGACCCTGTACAGGGTTTCCGAGGGTGTAAATCTTTACGGGAATAGAAAGCCTCATCTTTCTCCCGCGGAGCGGCTGGTAGTTTCGATTAAATAGAAATTTCTTCATAATTCTGTGTGTTGTTTCTTTACACAGTCTCTTCTTTTACAAAAATCTTCTCTCCCTCTTCTTGTTACCTGTCTAAAGAATGTTTCACCCATATCACCCTCACCTCAGGTAAAAAAAGATACATTTTCACTCAGTGGTCATTTGATATTTGTTGTTATTAAGTGCCATCGAGTTGGTTCCAACCTATAGCAAGCTTGTATTAGGGTTTCTGAGGAGCAGCTGGTGAGCTTGAACCACTGACATTGCATTCAGACGGCTTTGCAGTCTGGCACATTAACCCACAGTGCCGCCCCAGGTTTAGCAACTGGGAAATGTTAAAACATTTGTTAAGTGTTTGCTAATTTTAAAGTTCATTTCAGTATGCATTTTAAAACCTCCACAATATATTCTGTAAAATGTCATAAATCATTTTACCTTTCAAAAAATATTTGTGTTGTTGAAAAACAATAATTATCCTGTTATGTAGTAATTATTCTTAACTGAATCTTCACTTGAACTTAATGTAATTACTGATCAAACAGCATTACATTATCGGTACTATCCTGATTAGGCCCTCAGTGAAACAGATAGCTTACTTTGATTTTGTGCCACCTCTTTTTGCAGTGTAGGGCACCCCTCCCCGCTTGCAGCAGTCTAGACTCAGACACATCTTCACATCTGAGCAATGTCCCAGTTGTCAGGGTATTCCATTGTCCGTTTGCCTCGTTCAAAACCTTTATCAGTAACCTGATCTCAGCTAAATTATATAAAGCAGTTAAGAACTGATTGCCAGATAAAGCAATTTCATACAATTTATAATGACTGGTGTGTTAAGCCTAGTGTTGTTAGTTTAGAGCCTGACAGGGGAGTGATTTAGCTTCCTCTTCAATCGATTGTTATCCTAGTTTTATAAATAATTTTTAATACCTGTACCTTTTATATTTAGCATAAATACCTTATACCTCCTTCCCCTTTGATGCAATTTTATTAGACTTATTTTCTTCCCTGTCCAAGATTCAAAGAGCTCTTGTGCTCAGCAAAATTCCCTTAAAACCTGCCTTTTGAAAACTGTTAGGCTGTTTTTCATATTAACTCCTAACACTGACTTCGTCCAATTTAATTTCTGTGACATTGACATTTTCATCCCTAGTCACTTAAGAACTTTGAGTACCACATATACCCAGAACTGTCATTCCACCACTTTGTCATCTTTATGGACCTTGTTTTATTTTATTCGTATATATTTTAAACTCCTTAAGTTCGTACTTGGGCACCTGGTGTGGAATTGTAGGATCAACACTGGACTGTGAACCATAAGATTGGCAGTTCAAACCCACCAGCTGCTTCTTGGAAACCCTATACAGGGTAGCTGTGTCAGAATCGGCTCAGTGGCACTTAACAACAACAACAAATGTTCATACTTGCTTTCCTCATTTAATGTAAATTTTTCTAGTTTTGAGTAATCAAAATATCATTACACTGAAACAAGAGAATCATTTGGCTGTATAGATTTATATTTAAGTTCTAGAATTTTCCTGTTGCTTCTAGTCTTCAGTTGTTTTCTTCTTCTTCTTCTTCAGCTATCCATAAGAGCAGAATAGGGATTTCTCTTCCG